GAGGAGGAGGAGGAGGGGACGGAAGATGTTGAGAGAGCGGCAAGGCGGGCGGGCGGGCGGGCGGCGCGGAGGGCGGCGCGGCGGCCGCGCACCTGCGCGGTGGGCGGCAGCGAGCGCATGAGCGTGTCCATGTCGGTCAGCAGCTCCTGAAACTCCTCAAACGACAGCCCCGCCTCCAGACGCTCCACGTGCCTGCACCACGCCGCCAGCCACAGCAGGCGCATGAAGGGCAGGGCAGGGCAGGGCAGGGCAGGGCAGGGGCAGGGGCAGGGCAGGGGCAGGGGCAGGGGCAGGGCAGGGCAGGGGGCCAGGTGCCCGACGGGGCAGCGGCAAGGGTCAGGCAGGGGAAGCTGGAAGCGACGCAGCGGCACGCCACGCCACATCGCCGGCCGCCCCAAGCCAGCCCGCCAGCCTGCGCGCTCACTTGCTGTAGCGGCCCTCCTTGCGGCTGGCGCCCCACACGCCGCGCGCCGCCTTCTCCAGCACCCCCTCCTCCAGCATAGCAGCCAGCTCGCCCATCTGAGGATACCGCTTGCCAGCCTGGCGGTACAGGAGCACAACAGGGCGGCGGCGGCGGCGGCGGGGAGGGGCTTCAGACGGCTGGCACGCGGGGCCCACGGCAACCCCGCATGCATGCCAGCAGCAAGGGCCGCAGGAGGTGCCGGCCGCCGTCCACCCCGACCGCATCGCCACTGCCGCCCACCCATGGCCACCGCCGCCACCACCGCCACCACCACCACCGCACACACGCGTAGGCCCCCCACCTTCTTCAGCAGGCCGGTGACCTCGTCCCGCGACAGCCGGTTGTCTTTGTTGGTGTCGGCTTCGGCAAACAGCTTGGCCGCATCCTCCACAGACTTGTCCTGCAGGGGGGGCAGGCAGGCACGATGCAAGCAGGGCGGCGGAGCACGCCTGTTGAAACAACAAGTGCCGGGCGCCGGCCGCAGCCGCCAGCCCCAGCCCGCCCATGCCGTGGCGTGGCCTGCACCGCTCGACACGGAGAAACCCACGCAGCACAGCGCCCGCCCTCGTGCCGCCCCTGACCTGGTGCGTCACCGCGGCGTCCCCCATGGCAAAGATGGTACCGTTGGTTCCTTTGACCCGCAGGTGGCCGTCCACCACCACCCCCGTCCGCGAGTTCTGCACATCCTCCAGCTGCCGCTGCAGCTGCTCCTTGAGGCCGCGCACCTGCGCGCGGGGGGGGCGGGCGGCGGCAGGAGCAGGCGCTCGGTACATGTGTGTGGGTGTGCATGGGTGTGTGGATGAGATGGGGTGGGGTGGCGCTCGGCGTGTGTGTGGCTGGGCACGGGTGTGTGGCAGTGCAGGGTGGCAGGGCGAGGAGCACGGAGAGCAGGAGGACGCGCGGCTGCAGTGGCCGCTGCTGCTGCTTCTCCTGGGGTTGACACACTCTGCCCCAGCTCACCAGCGGGTGCATGGCGATGCCTGTGGCCCACACGCAGGTGCCAAAGGGCAGCTTCTCCTCGGTCTTGTTGCCGTTGCGCGTCACCGTCAGCGCGCCCTCCCCCACGCTCCGCACCCTGCACGCCCGCGGCGGCGCGCGCAAGGGAGCCCAGCGGCGGCGTGAGTGGCGACCCAGCCTCCCTCCCTCCCTCCCTCCTCCTATCCCTCCATTCCTTCCCTCCATCCCTCCCTCCATCCCTCCCCCGCGCTTCACCCCACCCCCCTGCCCTCACATCGTGCCCAGCTGCACGTTGATGCCCTCCCGCATGAAGTGTGAGGCCGTGTACTCGGACAGCTGGCGGTCAAAGGCGCCCAGCAGGTGGTCCATGGTGTCAACCACCTGGTGTGTGCGGGGGGGCAGGGGCAGGGGTGAGGGCAGGGGCAGTGACAGGGGCCAGGAGCAGGGGTGAGGGCAGGCAAGGCAGGGTGGCGGGAGGAGGCAGAGGGCCCGCCCAGGCACGCGGGCAGAGCAGGCGGGAAGGGCGGGCAGGGACGCGGCGGCTGGCAGGGAGGGGGCATGGCGGTGGCGCGGCCTGCCGCCAGCGGGCTGGCCCTCACCGTGATGCTGATGTCCTCCTGCAGTGCAGGCAACAACCAGGCAGGCGGGCAGGTGAGCAGCAGGCGAGCAGCAGGTGGCAGCAGGCGGCGGCCAGGCGGCGGTTCCTGGGTGCCTGTCACTCGCCCCCCACAACAGGCAACCACCCCACACGCCTCCACCACCACAGACACACAACAACCACAGCAACAACACACCACCCACCGCCCACCACGAACCTTGAGGTGCGGCAGCAGGCGCGCCACATCCTCCTGCACAAAGTCGTGCAGCTCGGCGGCCAGCTCCACCCCCGTGGGCCCGCCGCCCACCACCACAAAGTTGAGGTGGCGGCGCCGCTCCTCGCGGGTCAGGTGGGGCAGACCCGCATGCTCCACCACCTTGCTGGAGGGGGCGGAGGCGGAGGCAGGGGAGCGCGGGGGAGCTGTTAGCAGCGCTGGGTGCTTTGGCTGGGCAGAGCGGGGCGGTGGTGGGGAGGGAGGCAACCGGGCAGCGGCTGCGGCCCACGCGGGGCGGGGGCGAGAGCAGGCTCGCCCCAGCGCGGGCCGCCGGCGCGTGCCCTGCCCTGCCCTGCCATGCGGCGCCGCCGCCGCAGCCGCCAGTCCCCCAAACATGGGCGCGCACCTGATGTGCACCCTCAGCCTGTGGGCGTCGTCGATTGACTTGAGGAAGAAGCAGCGCTCCGCCACGCCCTGGATGCCAAACGTGTTGTTCACTGAGCCCACCTGCGGGGCGGGGGGGTGCGCGTGCGTGTGCGTGGGTGGGCGAGCGTGTGTGTTGGTGTGTGGGGGAGGTGGCAGCAGCGAGGGCGGCCAGGAGAGGCGGGGCGAGGCGGGCTGGATGGGCGGGGCATAGCACTTCTCAGCACCGCGGCAGGAGCTGCGCCACACAGGCCGGGCCGCATCCCCGCCCCGCCGCCCAGCCCAGGCCAGCGCAGCCCAGGCCAGAGGCCAGCTCAGGCCACGCCAGCTCAGCCCAGCGCAGCGCAGCCCAGCCCAGCACAGCCTCTAGCTCCCAGCCCAGCACAGCACGGCACCCACCCCCACGAGCAGGATGTCGTAGGGGACCTCAAACGTGTCGAGCTCGTGGGCGGCGGGGGCGGCGGGCGGCGCGGCGGCGCCGCCCTTCATCCACCCCTTCTTCCCGCCGCCGCCGCCCGCCTGGCACTTGCCGCTCTCATGATCCAGAGCCTCGCACACCTGATGGAGGGCGGTGCATGCAGGGGGGCAGAGAAAGTCAAGGATTGGCAATAGAAGAAGCAGAGCCAGGTGGACAGCGCTGCCGCCTGAGCCGCCGCCCCGGCCAGCTGCCGGCCAGCAGCAACACGCGGTCGGGGTCGGGCCGAGCGGAGCAGCGGCAGGACAAGGCAGGGGGGGGGCGGCGGCTCGTGGTACCCACGTGGCACTTGTTCACTGCGCAGTGCAGCACTTGGCGCTCTGCGTCGATGGAGGTGCAGGCGGCCTGGTAGTACTGGCCCTGCAGGCGGTACGCACAGGCAGTACCAGGGACAGTACCAGGGGCAGTATCAGGTGGCTGTCCGTTGGGGGGCTCGGGCTCAAAAGGCAGCCTGGCAGAGCCGGAGCGCAGATGCGCTGCCTCACACAGGACAAAAAAGCGCACACAAACGCGCGCACACACTCGCGCACACACACGCACACACACGCACAGGCAGGCGCGCCCACCTGCCCCGCCAGCAGGTTGCGGATGGGCTCCATGATCGACCGCTCCTGCACGCTGCCCGCCGCCGCGCCCGGCAGCAGCGGTGTGTACAGAAAGTAGGAGCGCGGGGACACCACCACCACCTCGTACTGGCCGTTGGCTGCGGCACGGCAGGGGCCCACGGAGCGGGGAGGGCGCTGGCGGAACGGCAGAGTGAGCACAGCGGGAGCAGGGCAGGGGACCGCAGGGGGTGTACGGGGCAAGCAGGTCAGGCAGCAGGCAGCCAGGGAGAGGGCGGGTTTGCCGCAGCGTGTGGCGGCAGGCGGCGCTCACGCACGTCCAAAGGCGCCCTTCCAGTCCAGGTTCTTCAAAAAGGCGACCGCGCCCCAGCCAGACCCCAGCACCACCACCCGCGTCTTGCGCTTGGGCGCCGCCGCCTCCGCCGCCGGCGCGCCCTCTGCGCATGAGTGGCAGCAAGGGGGCGGGGGCAAGGTGAGGTGCAGGGAGGCGCTGGATGGATGGATGGGCTCTGCGCCTTTTCGTTACCGCCGGTGCCACTGCCGGCATACGCACCTGGTGGCGCGTCTGGCGGGGACGCGGCAGCCTCACACTCTGCGGTGTTGTCGCCGCCTGGGTACATCTGCAGCCCGACTGCGCCCACTCCCAGGCAGGCCGCCACCGCGGCAGCCCACTGCTGCCTGGAGCCGGCGCGGGCGGCGGCAGAGGCGCCGCCACCGCCGCCACCGGCGCCGGCGGCGGAGCTCAAACTGGCGTACTGCACTTTGCAGCCCGCGGCGGCACGCCCACAGGCCGCAGCTGCCAGCTGCAAGAGCCGGGGTGCCAGCCTCGAGGCCTGCATGCTGACCTACTCCCACCAACCCTAGCTAGGAGGTGCGATCTGCGAGCGGCTGGGCCTCGCCAAGCGCGCGCCCTGAGTCACCAGCCAGCGCTGCAAATCGCTGGCGATGCGAACAACGAGTGGTCAGCGCATTGGTGGGGTTGACCTGGCGGCACTAGGTGGCGACCGCCGTAGATGCTTTTTCTTGGTTCCTTCGCACCTCTACACTGCATGGACCTGCGCCCTTCCGAACTGCTGCAATCCTCCATTCTCTAAACCATGAAAAGCTAAATTACAGGCTGCCAGCAAATGTGGCAAGAAGCATGGCCAGGGGCAAGGAGGGGAGAACAAAAGAGAGCAGCGGCGCGGGCGAGTGGAATGGCAGCTGAGGCTCTATTGATCACAGTCCGTGAAGCAAGACGAGCACGAAGGCTAGGAGCCACCGGCCGGGGGCGCTACTTGGCGACAAAGCTGCTGCCGCAGCCGCAGCTGCTGGCGGCGTTGGGGTTGTTGTGGATCACAAAGGCGGACCGCATCAGGTCGCTCTCAAAGTCCACTGCAGGCAGGCAGGCAAGGCAGGCAGGCAGGCAGGCGGGCAGGGGGTCAGGGCCGGAATGAGGTCGCACGCCCCATCAGCGGCGCCGCCGGCTGCGAACCATAAAGAAAAACAAAAACAAAAAGAAAAAAACACCGTACTTTAACTGTGGCTGCAGCTGAATCAGCTATAGGTTTAGCTTCATTAGTTGTGTATTATCGTATTCGTGGTACGATAGCTACGACAGCCTCACCTACGGCCCCCTTGAGGAACTCCAGGGAGATGTCGTCGCACACCAGGCGCACGCCGTCCCGCTCAAACAGGCGGTCGGTGGGCGCCAGCTGCTGCGCGGCCGCCCCCTCCTCGATGGCAAACTCATACTGGAATCCGCTGCACCCGCCACCCTCCACGGTCACGCGCAGCGCCACGGGGCCCGACGACTGCATGCATGGCGCGGGAGGGCCAGGCAGGTGGGTGGTGGGTGGGACCTTCTGCGGTTCTAGAAGGCAGGCAGCCATGGTCGGTAGCACACGCCGCGCTGCTGCAGCCCTCCCTGCCCTGAACCACAGCCACACCCGCACCTCTGCCTGCAGCTCCTTCAGCCGCTCCACCGCGCTGTCAGACAGGGCCAGGCCGTCGGAGCCGGTGCTGCTGTTGGTGCTGGCCTCCGCCGGCGCCGCTTGGGCGCTGGCGGCGCGACACCGCTGCTGCCGATGCGGAGCGCCGCAGGAGCCCAATGGCGCTGCTGCACCCACTCTCGTGGGCGCCCCAAGGTGCTGTCCGCTGCCCAGCTGCGCAGCCCAGCGCGACAGCCCGCGCTGCGCTCCTCCACAAACCAGCCACGGCTGGGCGGCAGCGGCGGCATACTGGCGGCAGCCACGAGGGGCGCCTCCTCCAGCTGCCCAGCCACGAGCGGCCACTAGACAAGCGTCAGGGCCGGCCAGGGCCTCGGTGATTGCGGTGCGGGGCCCCGTGCCAGCCACTTCTGCGAGGGTGGTTGCCTGCCTGGCCAGAGCCGAAGCCTGCTGGAGTGCCTGCCGTCGCATGGCTTTGGCAGGCAGCTGTGGGGTGAGGCAGAGGTCTGCAGGCGCTGGCAAGTCCGCGCTGCAGCGCGCTGTGGGAGAACCTGAGTGCCAGAGATGCTGACCGGCCTGGCGGTTGATTCTCTTGAAACTGTGGATGTAATGGAGTCTATTGCTGCTCACAGGGCGCATCCCTTCCACCAGCCACGTAGGAATTGTCCGGAACGTTGCTTTGCTTGCCCAGAAGGCCTCCTCATCCTGTTCTCAATGCCAGGACAGTGATCCAGGCGCATCCGATGTCGAGGGCACCGCAGCGAAAGGGTTATGGATGGTGTTGCTTTTCGGCGCAGGCGGGCCGCCCTCACAGGCCCACCTACCCGCCACGTAGAGCATGTGTGCTGTGGCTGGCAGCATTGTAGCTGTGACCTGGCATTCATGGAGGAGCCATTGCTTGCCCCCACCGTGCTCGATCCAGGCGGCTTACAGCCCTGGCTTAGGGCTGCGGAAGTGGGGCCCCGCACATCGGCAACCTGGGCTCGCCTGGCCCGAGGGCAAAGGCGCACTGGCTGCATGCTTGCACCCCATGCATGCATACGAGGAGAGACATATGCATGCTTCCAGGGGCGCCTCGGCTCGACATGCATCTGCAACCCCTCCCGAAACCCTAGCGGCGCCTGCCACCTGTCGCGCCACTAGCCATGCGTGCGCCTAGGGCTTTGACCAACCCATCTTTGACACCTCATGCAGCTGTGATCATCGCTAGCCATGCCTGTCGACACTGGCGACCCGCACAGCGGGCGCGAGGCCACCGGATGGCAGCAGTTCCGGGCTATTGTGCGCAAGAACTGGCTGCTGCGCCTTCGGGGCGGGTGAGGTGGCGCCTGCAGCGCGCCCAGCCGGCGGGGTACACAGGGCGGGCGGCAGTGAGCCCCGCCCGTCCGCTCCTGCCGGCGAACCGCGGCCGCCGCCCGCTGGGCTGGTCACCTTGTTGCCCACCCTTTCCTCAGCACGCTGCTGCACCCTGCTGCCTGGGCCCGCAGGCGCAAGTGGTTTGGGCTTGGCGGCTGGTTTGCGGCGACGGTGGACGTGCTGGTGCCTGTCCTCTTCTTTGTGGTGGGCGGCCGCAGAAGCATGGATGGAACCAGGGCCAGCCGGCAGCCGGGCGCAGTTCCCAGTCGCAACAGGGGACAGCTGTTGGCGTTCAGTGCGCCAAGCGCATGCGCGCCTCGCCCCGCCGCGTCTGCTCCTCGCGGCCTGCACTCGCTTGCCGCCCACCGCCGCCCCTGCCGCGCCGCCCGACGCAGGTGATGTGCATCCCCAAGCATTACATGCGCCCCATTGCCTACCCGGCAGCGCTGTCGCCGCTGTACCCAGCGCACAGCGCGGCCTGGGGGGAGGTTTACTCGGGTGGGTGGCGTGGGGCCGGCACGGCTGCCTGCCGGAGCGACCTCCGCCGCTGCGTGCTGCGCGTGCAAATATGTCGCGCCCCGTGGGAGTGTATGCCGATGATGGCTAGGTTTGCCTGCATGCGTGTGTGTGTCTGCAGGCCCCGCGTCCGACGCGCCCGGCGACGCCGCCCGCCTGCTGTTTGCGCCCAACACCACCGCCGTCACCGGCCTCATGCTGCTGCTGGCCAAGGCGGCGGCCTGCCCGCCTGGCGGCGCCATCTCAGCATACGCCTCCAGCTCAGCATCCTTCTACCACTTCTTCGCCGCCTCTGCCAAGGCGGCGGCGGCGGAGCACCCAGAGTGCGCCAGCGGGGGTGCCGACGCCTGCCGCGCGCAGCCCGCGTGCTACCTGCCGCTGTACCAGCGCCAGCTGGCGGGCCATGCCAGCGCGGAGGAGGCGGCAGCGGCAGCGGCGGCGCAGCCGGGCACAGTGGATGCCCTGCTCGACTTCACCGCCTGGCAGCAGGCCCTGGACGCGCGGCAGGCGGCGCCGGGGCAGGGGCGGCAGCAGGCGGGGACACCGGAACGGGAGCCGGCGCAGCGGCAGCCGCCGCGCTGGCGGCTGCTTGAGGCGGCGCCGCAGCGCCCGCCCCGCCTGGCTGCGCAGCGCAGCGGGCAGGAGGGGGATGAGGAGGAGGAGGGGGGCGAGGCGTGGCAGCAGGCGCTGCTGGGGCGGGAGGCTGGGGGGCAGCGGTGGCGGGGTGTGGGCAGCCCCCTTGTCTACTCCTACACACTGCGCATGAATCACAGTGAGGTGCCGCCCACCCGCATGCTCCTGAACCAGGTGGGCTTGAAGCGAGGGACCTGTGGCCTGCAGGCGGGGTTTGGGTGCGGGCCTGGCGCCGCGCATGGATGGCTGCTCAGCCCGCCGCCCTCGCCTGCAACTCGTGCCGCTCGCCCTGCTGCCCGGCCAACCGCCGGCGCCTGCCCCGCCCGCTGCCCCCCGCCGCAGTTCGACCTGCTGCCCGGCAAGCAGTACAAGCAGGTGGGGCGCGGCTGGGGGCGTGGCGCGCTGCAGTGGGGGCGGGGAGGGGCCAGGCAGCTGCGCCCACAGCGGCACAGGCCTGCAGCTAGTGCGTGCATGCGTCTGGCTGCTACCCAGCAGACCTGGCCAACCCCTGTCTGCTCCTCCTCCTGCTGCGCCCCCGTCCCGCCCGCAGTACTGGTTCTTTGCTAACCTCCAGACCCTGGTGGAGCACGCGGTGCTGGCCCACGCCGCGGCTGGCCCGGCGGGGCAGGCCGCGTGGGAGGCCGCCAGTGGAGGCGCCGCTCGCGGGGCCGCCGCCCGTGGCACCGCGCCCTGGCTGGCTCGCCTGGCGCAGGCGTCGCCTCCGCTGCTGCCGCTGGCGCTGTCCGTCAAGCCCTTCCCCTGGCCGGCCACGAGCCTGGACCTGGGGGCTACCGCCGCCGCCCTCTTCTTCAACATGCTGCTGGTCTTTGCCTTCCTGCAGCCCACCCGCGCAGGTGAGCTCCCCACGCCTCCCCGGAGCCGCCGGGAACGGCCTCCCCGCTTGCCTCCTGCCGCCGCAGCAGGGGCAGCAGCGGGAGAAAGAAGCGGGCAGGCTGTGCTGCTCCTCTGCCTGTGTCTTGTTGTATGGGCCGACTGCGCCGTCCTCGCCCCGCCGCCGCCCTCCCCGCCCCTCTGCTTGTTCCGTTCCATGAGGCGCCGGCCCCTCCCCTGCCCTTGCCGCCCTCCCTCCCCGCCTGCAGCTATCATGTCTGTGGTTCAAGAGAGGGAGCTGCTGCTGAGGGAGGGCATGCGCATCCTGGGGCTGCAGGTGGGCTGTGTGTGTGTGTGTGTGTGTGTGTGTGTGTGTGTGTGTGTGTCTAGGTGCGGGACGGGGAGGGGTCAGGCGCATCCTGCATCCCCTGCGGCCGCCAGCACTGCCCTGCCTGCAGCAGCGCGGCGCATGCGAGTGCCGCTCCACCATGCCCGCAGTAGCAGCCACGCCCACCCTGCCGCCCTGCCCTCCTGCCTGTTGCCGCCGCCTGCCCACCTGCCTGCCCTGCCTGTTGCCGCCTCGCCTGCTCCGCCTGCCTGCCCCCAGGACGGCGCCTACTGGTCCAGCTGGTTCCTGACTCACTGGTCCGGCATGGCGGTCAGCGGCGCGCTGTGCGCCGCGGTGGGCCTCTACCCCTTCTCCCACAGCAGGTGTGTGGTACCGCAGTACACCAAGCAGTACACTTGGGCAGTACCAAAGCGGTAATGCATGTGCTGCAGCGCCGGGGCGCTGCCGGGCAGCTCGCATCACTGCCTCCCGCCTTCACCCCTGACTCCTCCATCCCACCGCACCGGTACCGCCACCTTCCCCGCCCACCTTCCCTGCAGCCTCCCGCTCATGCTTGCCTTCTACTGGCTGGTGGCCGCCTCCTTGCTGCTCTTCGCCTACTGCCTGTCCACCCTGTTCAGGCAAGCGCCGGCCGGGGTCACCCATGCTAGGGTTCTGGGGGTGTGCATCTATGTGGGCCGGCGGGCGGGGCATCGAGCGGATGCTGCGGCAGCTGGGCTGCGCAGCGAGCTCGCCACACCGCCACCTCGCCCTCCCCGTCGTACCTGACCCGGCTCGCACCCCCTTCTCGCCGCTCCCCAACCAACCACTCCTGGCGCAGCAAGACTCGGGTGGCTGGCGGCGCAGGGGCAGTGCTCTACTCTCTCGCCATGATGCCTGGGTGAGTGGGTGGTGGTGGGCGGGGTGTCGGGTGTGGGGTTGGGGGGCGGGGCAACTGCCCACAGATTGGGATGGGGCAGGAGAGCTTGGAGGCAGCTGGTGCTGCCCTGCAGGGCTGCGTGCTGACTCGTGGCGTGGCCCCCCCTGCCCGCCGCCCGCCTCCCGCCGCGCCTGCAGCTACCTGATGCCCTCGCTGCAGCCCTATGGCGGCCCCGGCTGGGCGCTGTCCTGCCTGCTGCCCCCCTCCGCCATCTCCCTCTTTGCCTCGGTGCTAGTCAAGCACGAGGCGGTGCAGCAGGCAAGCAAGGGCGCCACCGCGGCGCGCCTCTGCTGCTGCTTGTGTACAAGTGCTGGTATGGTGTGTGTGGTGTGGTGGCGGAAGCGGGGCGGGCAAGGGAGCAAGAACCCCCTGCAGGCTTGCCGCCAGCCGTGCCGTGCCCACCCAGCCTGCCTCGCCTGCTGCCTCTGGCGCCTCCTCCTCCTTGCAGGGCCTGACATGGAGCACCCTCGGCATGCCGGTCACCGTGGAGCACAGCTTCAGGTGGGAGCAGGCGCCATACAATGTATGGTACACCTCCATCTGCTGGGGCTGAGGTGGCACCGCTGAGATGGCACCGCTGAGCTGGCACCGGCTGCCGCTGCTCGCCTTGCCAGCCAGCCACGCTCGTTTTGCCCCCGCCCCGCCCCCGCCCCCGCCCCCTCATTCCCCCGCGTCGTGCCTGGCGACTGTCTGTACCGCAGCGCTGCCAGCGTGTACCGCATGCTGCTGCTGGATGTGGCGCTCTATGCTGCGCTGCTGTGGTACCTGGACAAGGTGGGCTACTTGGTACCGCTGTGGCTGTTTGGTACTGCTTGGCTGCTTGGTGTGCTGTGCGTGTGGGCGTGCTTGGCTGCCGCCGGATGCGAGCCTTGCTGCTGGCCTTTGTCCCCGTGGCGCCCTGGCCCCTCTCCCGCCTCCCTGCCTCCTACGATGCCCTGACAAACAGCCACACCCCTGCTTCAACAGGTCGTCCCCTCTGATGTGGGGCAGCAGCTGCCCTGGGCCTTCCCTCTCTCACCAGACTACTGGCGGCAGCAGTGGCGGCAGCTGGCGCCCGCCGCGACCGGCGCCGCCGCCGCCGCCGCGGCCGCGCCGGCGGCCAACGGGGGCGGCGACGGCGGCGGCTGCGATGCTGCGGTGCGCATCATGGGGCTGCGCAAGGTCTTCCGTACCACAGACGGCATGGATAAGGTGGGCGGTGGTGGTGCAGGTGCAGGTGCAAGGAAGCTGGCTGACACGCCGCCACCGGTACCGCCGGTCGGCACGCCGGCAGACCTCCCTGCATCCGCTCCCTCTGCAGCTCCAGCGCCTGCTGGCCGCTGCCCACACACCACGCGCCGCCCATGCCGCTCTCGCGCCCATCCTGCCTCGTCTGCCTGCTCACGGCGCTCCTCCGCTGCTCCAGGTGGCGGTGGATGGGCTGAGCCTGGGGATGCGGCGGGGACAGATCACCGCGCTGCTGGGCCACAACGGCGCCGGCAAGACGACGACGATCTCCATCCTGTCGGGCCTGCTGCCGGCCAGCTCCGGGGACGCTTTCTTCTACCCCGCAGCGGGGCGCGCCGGCCTGTCTGTGCGCGACGACATGCCCGCCATCCGCGGCTCGCTGGGCGTGTGCCCGCAGGCATGCACCGCCGCTGCCGCCGCCGCGCCCCTGCTCCCGTGCTGCGCGCCCGTGCTTTGTTCTGTTGCTCCGGCGTGCGGCCGCTGCCCGGCGAGCGACGGAGCGGGGGCGGCCTGCCCCACCCTGCCGTGCGCCTCCCCTCCTCGCCTGGCCTCCACCTGTGCTGCCCCCCGCCTGCCCCACCCTGCCCCGCCCGCAGTTTGATGTGCTGTGGCCGCAGCTGACTGTGAGGGAGCACCTTGAGCTTTATGCCGCCATCAAGGGCTATGCCACCAGGCAAGCCGGGGGCTGGGCCGGCGGGGGTTGGGTGGTGGGGCCGCAGCCGGGGACAGGGGGCGATGGAGCAGGCGTGTCGCTCTCTGGGGTCACACCCAGCTGGCGCCAGCTGCACCCCTTGCCCCTCCCGCTCCCTGCTGGGTGCCCGTCCCCACTCCTCTGCCCCCGCCGCTTCGTGCCCTCCACTCGCCTGCCTGCCTGCCTGTCCCCGCCCCCGCTGCCCCTCCCGGCGCACCGCTGCAGGCAGGGGCGGCGCGTACTGGTCGAGGCGGCGGCGGCCGAGGTGGGGCTGGAGGCCAAGCTGGGCTCCGCGGCGGCGGAGCTGTCTGGCGGGCAGCGGCGCAAGCTGTCGGTGGCGCTGGCGTTCGTGGGGGACCCGGCAGGTGGGTGGGCTGGTGGGTGGGCTGGCCTTGTCTGGAGGAAAGGAAAGGGGACGGGAGGGGAGGGGAAAGGAAAGCAAAGGAGAGGATGATTCGTTCGGCGGGGCGGGGGAGCTAGCTGGCTGGCCGCGCTTGAGTGCACAATCACAACTCTTCCCGCACACACACGGCCACCACGCCCCACCGCCTGCCCGCCTGCCCGCAGTGGTGATCCTGGATGAGCCCACCAGCGGCATGGACCCATACACACGCAGGCAAGAGCAAGCCAAGCCCACTGCATGGCGGCGGGCTGCGCGCCGCCCGGCATGCAGCGTCGTCGCCGCCGCTGCCGCAGCCGCATGCTGCCGCTGCTCGGTCCCGCCCCAGCCCCTGCCGCGTGTGACCGGCCCCGCAGCCCCTGCCCGTCCCTGCACCCCCACCCCACCCTGCGCACGCAAACACGCCCGCCCTGCGCGCCTCGGTGCCGCAGGTTCACGTGGGGCGTCATCCAGGCACGGCGTGCCCGCTGCGGTACCGCGGTACTGCTGACCACCCACAGCATGGAGGAAGCTGACCTGCTGGCTGACGACATCGCCATCATGGCACACGGCAGGTGGGTGGGCGGGCAGGCGGCCCAGCAGCTGCTGCCTCTGCGGCAGGCCGGGCAGGGCAGGGCGGTGCTGGGATGGCGGCGCCAGAGGCTGGCGTGGGCTGCCGCCTCGCCGCACACGAGCGGCGGCGGCGGCGGCGGCTGGCCGCGACCGGCGGCATCGCCTCCTCCCGACAGCGGCCTGCCTTGCTTGCAGGCTGGCGGCGCTGGGCACCTCTCTCGACCTCAAGAGCCAGTTTGGGGTGGGGTACACCCTCACCCTCAGCCTGGCGGCGGGCGGGGCCGGCGGCGCCGCACAGGCGGCCGCGCAGGATGGCGGCAGTGAAGGGGTGGCCGGCGTGGCGCAGCTGACGTCCCTGGTGCGGCGCCACGTGCCGCAGGCGCAGCTGCTGTCGGCCTCAGGTGCGGGGAGGTGGGGGGCTAGGGAGGGGGCAGGGGCGCGGCCGGTGCAGGGTGCTCTCCGCATGGCAGACGGGAAGGGCTGGTGGAGGGGTGGAGGGGTGGCAGCAGCGGGTGGCTGGCTGGCCGTGCCTTGCCTGGCGCCGCCCCACATTGCCTGCAGTCAAGGCCCGCGTTAATCACCTTGCCCCAACCGCACCTGCCCCCGGCTGCTGCTGCTGCTGCTGCTGCTGCTGTGTGCAGGCAGCGAGGCCGCCTACCGGCTGCCCAAGGAGTCCGCCGCCGCCTTCCCGCCGCTGCTGCGCGCGCTGGGGGGCGAGCGAGGCGACAACGGCGGCGGCGGCGGCGGCGGCGGCGGCGGCGGCGGGGAAGATGCCCCGGCCGTGGCCGGCTACGGCCTGTCTGTGACGACGCTGGAGGAAGTGTTCCTGAGGGTTTCGGAGTCGGCAGGCGCGGCCGCCGACGCCGCGGCGGCGCCAGCCGGCGGCGGCGAGGGCACGGCGCCCGCGGCCGCGGCAGCCAAGGAGCTGCCGGGGCGGGAGCAGGGGGAGGGGGGCGGCGGGCGGGATGAGTTTGTGGTGGTCAACCTGCCGATGAGGTGCTACCAAAAGGTTCGGCGGCCTGGCATGTGCTGCTGTGCTGTGCTGTGCCGTGCTGTGCCGTGCTGTGCCGTGCTGTGCCGTGGAGTTTGTATGCTGTGGTTGCTGTGGCTGCTGCCTGCGGTGCGGCCGGTGCTTTGGTGCGGCGAGCGCGTGTGCCGACCCCCACCCGCCCACACCCAGGCTCCGACTGGGTTCGCTCCTTGTTGTCGGCGCTGGCTGGCTGGCCTGCAGGGCTGGGCGCTGTGGTGGCAGCAGCTGCGTGCGCTGGTGGCGAAGCGGGCGCTGTGCGCGGCGCGCGACTGGTGGGCGGCCCTGGTGCAGGCAAGTGTGGGTGTGTGGTGGTGTGGGGGGGGGGCTTGCCACTGGCGCTGGGCATGCTGCTTCGCCTGGCACTGCAGCTGGGTCCCATGCCTGCGGCCAGACAGCTTGCCGCATCCCCACGGCACACGCACACACAAATGCGCACACGCGCAAGCACACGCGCGGAGCAAGGCCCTTGCCGCTCCCTGCCCGCCACGCGTGCAGGTGGCGGTGCCGGTGCTGCTGGTGCTGCTGGCGCTGTGGGGCAACGCCGTGTCGGCGGCGCTGCCGCAGCAGCCGCCGCTGGCGCTCGACAGGTGGGCGCCTGCTGGGCTGCTGCCTGGGCCTCTGGGCGCGCTCGCTCGCGCTGCGCGCTTCCTCTCGCCCAGCCCCGGCCTACACGCCGCGGTTGGCCGCCTGCCTGTGTGCCCTGCCCTGCCGCCGCCTCTCGCCTCGCGTCTCTATCTTTCAATCCGCTCTGCGCCCCGCCTCCGCCTCCCCCACCCTCCCGGCAGGCCCACCGCGCTGAGCGGCAACCCCGCAGCCTACGGCGCCGCCGCCGACCTGCGCTCTTCTGCCGGCGGCGCCGCCCAGCTGGCCTCCTTCCTGGCCGGCTATCCAGAGGCCCGGGTGGGGCGCGGCCTGCTGCTCCCCCTCCCTCCCCTTGCTCACCCCCCCTCCCCGCGGCATACCGGGCAGCCGCACGGCGCGTGGCGTTTGCTTGCGGCGTGCCGCGTGCGTGCGCGTCATGCATGTCATGCATAGCATGCATATCGCTTGCTGAGCTGGCGCCCCGTCGTGCTCCCGCTGCGCGCCGCCCCTGCAGGACACTGGCGCCACCCGCATCCTGACGCTGCCGATGTTTGAGAAGCTGAACGGCAGCCTGGATGGCTGGCTGCTGGGCCAGTGGCACAACAGCGCCGCCAGGCGGTATGACGCCTTCTTCCTGCAGACCCTGCCCCCCAACCTCACCTCGGGGGCGGTGCCGGAGGCCGGTACGGTGCTGCAGTACAGCGTGGCCGCCAACCAGACCGCCATCCACGGCCTGCCTGCCGCCATCACCCAGGTGCGGCGTGGCGGTTTGGCGGTTTGGCGGTGTGGGATGGGTGGGGCCGCAGCTCCGCAAGGGCCCGGCCGGCCTGGTCTGCACTTCCCGCCTCTCCCTGCAACGTCCACGCTCCCACCAACCACACACACACACACACAACGTGCCACTAACCACCACCACCACCACCACCGCCTACCGCCTGCCCCCAGGTGCACGCCGCGCTGCTGCGCTGGCTGACGGGCGACGCAGGCGCCGACATCCGCCTCACCTCCCACCCGCTGCCGGTACTGCCTCGCGAGCAGGACATGCGGATCACGGAGGAGGCAGGCGCGCCACACGCTGTACACTGTACCGCTGGCCGCCAGCCTGTACTGCTGGCCGCCAGCCTGGCGCTGGCGCCGCCATGCCTGCCGCAGAGGCTGTGCCGGGCCTTGCATGCCTGCTGAGAGCCCCAGCAGCCGGGGCCCAGCCCTCCATCCCCCCCTTTGGTCGCTTCATGTGCCCCCCGTTGCGCACCAGCGGCCACCCACCCACCCACCCGCCAACGAGCGCACACGTCTGCGGCCGCCGCCTCAGCGCCCGCCCCTGCTGCGCCCCGCCACCCCCCGCAGGCAACCTGCTGCTGGTGATGTGCGTGGTGCTGGCCACCTCGGTCCTCTCAGCCTCCTTTGCCATCTTCCTGGTCAGGTGCGGTGTGTGTGTGTGTGTGTGTGTGTGTGTGTGTGTGTGTGCGCGCGCGCGTTGTGTTGGTGTTGGTGGATGATGAAAGGGAGGGGACGCCAGTGGTGTGCCCCTGGGGAGCACTGCCCTGTAGCAGCGGTCCCTGGCGCCGCCGCGCCGCCCACGTCGCGCAGCGCTGCCCCGCCGCCGCCTCGCAGGGAGCGCGCCAGCGGCGGCAAGGCGGTGCAGCTGATTGCGGGCGCCGCGCCCTCCGCCTTCTGGGCCGCCAACCTGCTGTTCGACCTGCTCTATTACTCGGTGGGTGGCAGGCATGTGGGAGGGCGTGTGGGAGGCGTGTGGGTGGCGTGTGGTTGTGGTGTGGTGCGGGAAGTGCGCTGGCTGAGTGCTGAGTGGGGGGCGAGTAGTGGTTTGTTTGCCCTGGCGTCTTGTTGTGTTGGTGTTGTAGTTTCCTCAGCCTCCCGGGCGCTGCCGCTGCCCGCGCAGGTGCCCGCCGCTCTCATGGTAGGCCTCTTTGCCGCCTTCCGCCTGCCCGCCTTCTCGGGACCGCGCCTGGCGGCCACCGCGGCCATGCTGTGGGCCTTTGCCCCTGCCGGCCTCTGCCTCACCTACCTCCTGCAGTCCGCCTTTGAGGTGGGCGGGTGGGGGCATGGGATGAGCGCGGCAGCAGGGGCTGTGGGCAGAGGGGGGGGACCAAGCAGGGCCCCATGGCTTGGCGCTGCGCACAGGCAGGCCCCTGCCACACCCGCGCCCGCACATCGCTGCCGCCCACACACCGGGAGTGAGGCTGTTCTGTGCAGGACGAGGTGCGGGTGCTGGTACGGGCCAACTCCCTGTACTTCACCACCGGATACCTGGGATACCTGGCAGTCTGGATACTGGATACCATCGCCATGTGGGTGCCGCCAAGTGGGGGTGTGGGGGCGAGGGTGGGAGGTGTGGGGGGCGGGACCGGGGCGCCTGATGGAGGCACTGGCAGGGGGGGCGGGGGCGGCGAGGGGATGTGGTGTGTGGGTGCAAAGCGGCATGCATGACAGGAATGGCGGACGGGAGGCTTGGCTGTGGCAGGCCGAAGGGGAAAGAGGGTGCCCGGGTTGCTTGCGGACAGGCGTGACGGGGCAGGCACGCAGCCGTGCCTGACCGGGCCCCCCACACCCCCTTCCGCCGCCGCCGCAGGTTCATGCCGCGCCCCGGCGTGACCCGCACCCGCACGGTACTGCGCCTGGTGCTGCAGTCGCTGTCCCCCCACTTCTGTGTAGCCAGAGGCCTGCACCTGGTGAGTGGCGGTGGGGCTGGGGCTTGGGTTGGGGCTGCCGGGAGTCTGTGCGATGGGCCTGGCAGCAGAGGTGTGGTGGCCGGGGTGCCTGGCACGCGCATGGCGAGACGAGGCGCGGCGGCGGCGCTGGTCCTGCACAGCCAATGTTGCTGTTCCTTGGGTTTGACCGTCCTGCTGCTTGCTGCGCCGCCTTTGCCGCAGATCTCGGGCACCTACCACCCAGACCAGCTGGCAGCCCGGCTGGAAAGCGCGCTGGGCGGCGGCGGGGCCGCCGGCGCGGTGGACGGCCCCTGGCCTCCCACCCCCGGCAGCTGGCTGGGGCCCTGGGCCTGGCAGGTGTCGGGCCAGCTGCTGGCCAGCCTGGCGGCGCAGGCGATACTGTACGGTGGTGCTGTGGTACTGGTGGAGGCTGGAGTGCTTTCCCGGGGGCGGCGCCGCGTGGCGGCAGCCTGGCGCGGGCGCAGGGCCCGCACAGGCGGCGCCGGCGGCGGCGGCGGCTACCAGCCGCTGCCGGGGCAGGAGGAGCAGGGGGGGCAGCCCTCTGGGGCAGCCGCCGCGGCGGCTGCCGAGCAGGGGGAGGCGGAGGATGCTGATGTGGCGGCCGAGCGGCGGGCCATCCAGGCAAGCGTCAGCCGGGGGGCTGGGTGGCGCTGGGTGGCCATGCTGCGACGACGGTTGTGCCGTGGAGGCGCCGCCAGCCAGCCTGCTGTCGCCGTGTGCCGCATGCCGAGGCAGCTCAAGCTTGGCTGGCCCCTGCCTTGCTGTGACTGTGTGTGTGTGTGTGTGTGTGCAGAGCGGGCACCTGGCCGCCGACAGGGTGCCCGTGCTGCTCAGGGGCGTCAGCAAGTCGTTCTGGCAGCCGCCCGAGAGCGGCAAGGGCCGCGAGCGGGAGCAGGGGCACGAGCACAGGCACGGGCTGGGGCCGGGGCCGGAGGCGCCTGGGAGCGAGGAGCGGCGGGGCGCCAGCGAGGCGGCACAGGCAGGGGGCGGCGTCGTGCGCGCTGTGCGCGACCTGTGGCTCAGCATCGGCAAGCCGCAGGCGGCCGACGGCGGCGGCGGCGGCGGCGGCGGCGAGTGCTTTGGCCTGCTGGGCGTGAACGGCGCGGGCAAGACCACAACCTTCCGCATGCTCACAGGTGTGTTGTCCTTTGGCTGCCGGCAGCAGCTGCCGTCCTGCTGCCTCTGCTGCGCACGTACCGCCGGCACCGCTGGCCAGCGGGCGGCGAGGTGGAGCGCTGGCTCGTGTGCAGCTGCTGCTTCCTCTGGCTGCCGCCGCCGCTCGCTGCCTCCACCTCGACCTCGCCACCCGCCTGCCCACCCAACCCTGCTTCCTTCCACCCTCCTCCTCAATGAGCAGGGGAGGTGGTGCCAGATGCCGGCGACGCGCTCGTGGGCGGCCTCTCGCTGCTGCAGCAGACAACTGCTGCTCGGCAGCTGCTGGGGTACTGCCCCCAGGCCAGGTGCGTGGCCCCCGCGGCGCCCGTCGCCCGCCAGCTGTGTGTGTGCCCCTCGCACCGCGGGCCTGACGGCGCAGGCCGCCTGCTCACCAGCGCTGCCTGCCGTGCCCTCCCTCCTCCCCCGCGCCCCTCCCTGCAGCGCCCTGCCTGCCCAGATGACGGGGCGGGAGGTTGTGCGCATGTATGCGCGCCTGAGGTGCGCGTGCCGGCCGCACCTGCACCCGCCCGCCAGGCGCCTCGCATGCGCCGCCCGCCAGCTTCTGGTCAGCTTCCGCCACCCAGCCTTCCTGGCATGCTGAGTGCCCGCTTGCTCCTCGCTGCACTGGTCGGCCCCGTCCCGCACGCAGGGGCCTGCCTGAGCGACTGATTGAGGTGGAGGCCACCCGCCTGCTGAAGCAGCTGGGGTTGACGGAGTATGGTGGGCGCGCGTGCGGCACCTACAGCGGCGGCAACCGCCGCAAACTGAGCGTGGCGGCGGCGCTGGTGGGGGCGGCGCAGGTGGTGCTGCTGGATGAGCCCTCTACGGGCATGGACCCAGGTGGGGCCTGGCAGCGCGTGGTGCGGCAGAGGGGCGAGGGTTGTGTGTGTGTGTGTGTGTGTGTGTGTGTGTGTGGAGGGGCGCTCGTCGCCAGGTGCGGCACGTTCCCTGGTGGCGGCGGCAGCGGGCGATGGATGTGCAGCACTGTGCAGGCCCGGAGCGGTGGGGTGCTCGGGAGGCAGCCAGCTGGGCCCAATTGTGCTTGACCAGCGCGCGCCCTGCCCGGGGGGCCATCGACGTGCGGCTGCGTGCAGGGGCGCGGCGGGCGCTGTGGGGCGTCATCCGTGGCGAGATGGCGCGGGGCCGCACCGTGCTGCTGACCAGCCACAGGTGAGTGAGGGGCAGGGTGTGTGTGGCAGGCCGCAGGCCGCAGCAGCGTGCGGCAGACCATGGCTGGCAGCAGCCGGCGGCGACGGCAGGAGAGGCGTTGGAGGGTGGCAGCACCTGCGCTTTCGGGCGGCGCTCACGGGTGACAGCAGAGAGGATTGGGCGGCTCTTCGCGGGGTGTCCGCGCCGCCCTGCTGCGACCTGCAGCCCATTGCGCCTGCCGTAACGTGCGGCGCCTGCCCTGCGCCACATGCCTGCCATATGCAGCATGGAGGAGTGCGAGGCTGTGTGCGGGCGGGTTGGGGTCATGTCTGGCGGCCGCCTGCGCGCCCTGGGCTCTGTGCAGCACCTGAAGACCAAGCATGGGCAGGGGTGCGCTGCGCCGCGTGCTGGCCAGCCGCAGGCACACTGCTGGCCAACTGCCGGGCCGGTGCTGCCAGGGGAGCGTGGTGCAGCGTATAGAGTGCTGTGCAGTTCCGTGGCATCGGGCATCCGTGTGCCATGACCGCTGGCCTGATGGTACCGCAGGTACTCCCTGGAGATGCGCGTCCCTCCCGGGTGCGCGGCGGCCGCCGCGCAGCTGGTGACCCGCTGCTGCCCTGGCGCGCGCCGCCGCCCCGAGCACTGGCAGGCGGCGGCGGCGCAGCTGCACGGCGGCGCCGACGGCGGCGTGGGCGGAGGCGCGCAGGGTGGCGGCGAGGGCGGGGGCGACACACATCTGAGCTTCATGATACCCCAGCAGCAGGCCGACCTGCCTGGCCTGTTTGCCGCGCTGGAAGCCGCCAGGTGCGCGCGGGGCGGGGGCAGCGGTGGGCGCCAGGGCTGTAGGCGCGGCTGTTTGGCCCGCCGAGTCCCCCCACCCCCTCTGTCTCTGCTACTGCTGCTGCCGGCCGCGCCCGCGCAACTGGGTGAAACAGCAAGCTCAGCTTGTGCGCCCGCTCGCGCGTGTGTGCAGGGCTGGCAGCGTGGCAGGCGCGGGCGCGGAGGCCGCGCCCCGGGCCGCCGCGCCGCCGCTTGTTCTGGAGTACTCGCTCAGCCAGACCACGCTGGAGCAGGTGTTCCTGGCCCTGGCTGCTGCGGCCGCCCACGAGGAGCAGCAGCAGCAGGAGGAGGAGGAGGAGGAGGTTGGCAACGGCGCCGACCACCTGCAGGGTTGACGACGGCTGGGGCGCTGCGGGGAGCGGTGGCTCGCCCTCGCGAGCGGCGTGGACGGTTTGTTACACGCCATGCTGGGTTATTGCAATGGTTTTGGATTGAGAGCTGCCAGCTCCCTGAAAAGCCTGCTTCGACATACCACCGCTCCGTGACTGGCATCACACAACGGCGGCTCCAGCGTGAGCACCTGCTCTGCACCGCGGCAGCCGCTGCCGCGCTCCTCACGGGTGCATGGCTCTGGCTTCAGCCCGACCCCATGGTAGCCCGTTCCTGGGCACATGTTCCAGCTGCCATGCACCGATAGGACTGGTTTCGTCCCGGAGGTGGAAGGAGGAGCCACGATTGCAGCTGCAGGCAGTCAGGACGGGACCGCCTCCGCTGCTGTGAAAACCTGGCCTGTTTTAGCACGCTGCAGCCCCGTCAAAGCAACATGCCAAACTTCCTCCGGCTGCCGGAGGAGCTGACAGCGCATTAACGAGGTGCGACAGATCTGGGCTTTCCAGCAGCGCTGATTAGCGCCTACAAGCACCAGCGCTGGTTGATAAGCATGCTAGCTGGCAGAACGCTGCTGTCTGGTACTATCACTTGAGTAACCACATCGACGCCAGGTGGCAGATGTTGCGATACTCCCCCCCCCATCCTGGCAAGGAGGAGGAACGTAACCAATCCTGACATTCGTCATAGTCCATCCCCAATCGAACCAGCGCCGCCCCGCCTCGCGGGAGTGTACTCGTCAGTGCCTGAGCACCAGCACTCGCACGCTGGGCCCTGGGCACCGCCTGCAGCCAATCTCAGGCTGCCTGTGGCAATCACCAGACCCTACCCCGAGCCCCCCGTCCCCACCCGGAGCTGGGGAGGAGCTGTCAGCGCGCCCTGGCCACGCAGCTCCAAACCCTGGGCCTCCTCTGCCAGGTGCGCCTGTGCCGAATTCCGTTGGTCATGTTGGCCCCGAGCCGATGCGGGTGCAGCCGCGTGCTGGCTTCGCCCGCGTGTGAGGCATGCCCCGCCATGCACTTGTTCGGGCCTCCCTGTTCGCGAGGGCCTCTGCAGCCCCCCAGGAGCCCACAACAGGCGCCCCTGGTTGCCTGCAGATTGCCTGCGAGCCCGCCGACTGGCCATCCGACGCTGGGGTTGGTTTCCCGCCACTGGGCCGCGCCCGGCGCACCAACCGTCCGGGCACACTCGCCTCCCTCCATCCAGGCCACCACCCTAGCCCCCGCCTGATGCCCTCACCCAGCCTGAGTCAAGGAGCCGCCGCCCCGCGGCGCATGGTGGAGCCCGCAGCCCCAGGTGCGCAGCCAGCAGGCGGCGGGGGCGGTGGGGCGCACTCCGGGCACAGGCGTGCGGCAGAACGGCCGCGTACCGGCGTTGCTGAATCTGCCAAGCCTCGGGCCCCGTTGCTGTGCGCCCTGCATCCTCCCGCACTGCACGCTCCCGCATGTATCGAGGCACGCCTGCATCGATGCAACGGGGGCTGCTCACCACACACACCCTACTGCGCTCCCCTACCTTGCGGTGCAGGCTGCGGACAGCTGCCGCCCCACGAGTCTGAAATGCCGACCAAGGGCAGCGCGGCGCCTGCCGCGTGCTTGCCTGCGCCGGCGCCAGCTGCGGCGGCGGCCCTGCCAGCGCCATGGCCCGCCAGCGACTCCCCCGCCGTGCAGCCCCAGCCGCCGCGCCTCAGCCCGGGCAGCGGCCACGGCGCCCGGCCAATCACGCCTGACCCTGCCCCCGCCCAGGCCGCCGCCACGCCCGACGCCTCTCGCGCGGCATCGGCAGGCGCAGGCGCGGCGGCAGGGGCCGCCGCGCGGCAGGCGCGGGCCCGCGAGCAGCGCGAGCAGGAGCGCTGGTGCAGGGTCGAGTCCTTTGTGCGCCACGTCACCACCTCCCCGCTCATCCACTCCGCCCTCTGCTCTCTGCTGGACGGCGTCAGCGGCGAGGCGGACGGCGAGACGGACGGCGAGGCGGACGGCGAGGCGGACGCCGAGCTGCCGCACGGCGACACGCTTCAGCTGGCCCTGGCCCAGATGCTGGCGCTGTTCCTGCGCGCGGGATACCCCACGGGTGAGTGTGGGGCCGGGCGGGCTGCCGCCTGCAGCCCAGGCTGGCGTGGCGCGTTCAGTGCCCGGCACGCTCGCATGCGGCCCGCCCCATCCCGTCCAGCATGGGCTGCCTGCGCCGGCGGCCTCGTGCCGCGCGCCGCCGCCTGCCTGCCCGCCTGCCTGCCTGCCTGCCCCGCCCTGCTGGCCCCTCCCTGCCCCTGCCCTGACCCCCGACCCCTCCCGCGCGCCCCCCTTGCCCGGCTGCAGCCAGCGACGAGGCGCTGCTAACGTGCCTGTGGGTGCTGGAGTCATTTGGCAACGTCTGGCGCTCGCCCGCCGGCCCCCGCATCTCCGCGTATGTCCACAACCTGTGCTACTTTGCGCCAGAGGTGGGGGCGGGGGCGGGCCGGCGTGCCAGCTGGCGAGCAGGGAGAGAAGATCGATGGCGCCCCGCCTGCTACATCTTCCTGTGTGCGCCAGCAGCCAAGGGGAAGCACCCTACGGCCGCCGGCACGCTCACACACGCAGCACATGCAAAACATGCACACCCCACCACACCACGCACTCCCCCGCCCGCGTGCAGCTTGCGCTGTACGTGAACCGCAACTGGCGGGAGCGGTACATCAACATGCGCGCGGCGCTGGTGGAGGGGCAGGTGTGTGCGCGGGCGCACGCCCGCGCCGCCGCACAGCACGTGCCGCCGCTGCCTGCGCCCGTGCCCGCGCCGCGCCACGGCCCTGCCGCGCATGCGTGGAGCAGGCCCCCCGGGCGGGTGTGGGGTGCGCCTGCGTGTGGCGCTGAGGTGGCAGCCTGGTGCCTGGTGCTGTGCAGCGGGAGCTGCTGAGCCGTGTGGAGTGGCGGGTGCGGCTGGACCTGCACTCAGGTGGGGCCCTTCCCGGGGCAGGCACCTGAGCAGCACGCAGCAGCCGCAGAGCCGGAGCAGCTGCTGAGCCGCCCCTGTGTGTAGCATTTGCGTGTTGCCGCCTGATTGGATGGCGGCGGCAGGCCCCCACAGGGGGCGGTGCAAGGGGCCGTGCAGGAGCGAGCGCAGCACGCCTTGCGGCCTGCGCCCGCCTGCTGTCGACCCCTGCACGCCTGCTGCCTGCTACCTGCTGCCCCCCGCTGCAGACGTGCGCCCCTGCTACCACTGGCTGTTCCGGAACCCCGCCGCCTGGGGCCGCCTGGCTGGCCGGCTGTCGCCAGAAGACGCCGGCCGCGCCGCCGCCGCTCCCGGCGCCATCCCGGCGCCGCCGGCAGCCGCCAGGGACGGCTGGCCGGCCAGCCTGCGCGCCCTGTGCAACCGCGTGGAGAGCAGGCGGCCCGTCGCCGAGCCTGGTGTGCCGCAGGGCGCAGAAGAGTTTGCGGCTCTCTCCACGCTCTGGCCCAAGCGCCAGCGCACCCAGCTGTAGACTGGGCAGGGACAGAGGGATGTGAGGCGCCCGGTGGCCCCAAATCCGTACCCCCTGCCGCCTGCCCTCCCCCCACCCCCCGTGATATAGCGCCGCCCCCTTGCGGCGAGTTTTCCTTCTGCCACCTTTCCTCCCGCCAACCTCCTGCCACCAGCAACGGTCAATTCTCCTTGCGAATGAGCCAAACTCCTAAACCCGCGGCTTGCTTTCAACCCTCTTGTCCGGAACGCCCCCCGGACCCATTTTGCCCCCGACATTTCATGCCCCTCAGTCCCACCCTCCTGCCGGCTTTTTCTCTGCTGCAAGGATAGCTCAGCCCCTGCCCCCGCCACCGAGCAGATCGTGCATATGCGCTGCATGCCGCAGCCCCATCCCCACCTCCCCCCGCTGGCCCAGCGGGCTTGATCCAACGCTGGCCCCGCTCGGGTGGCAGGCCCTCGCCACACTTGCCTGGTGCACTCCCTAATGCACATCTTTTCCCCAACCTCCCTAATATTCACACCCGTTGCTTTTCAACACACGATTTCCTGCGAACCACTCCCCAATGCCTCTGCCCACCAAAGTTTCTTGTTTGGAACTGCCCCCTTGTTCCTCTGCCTTAGATAGATTGGCGGCGAGCCACCTTCCGGCCCGCCCCGCCCCAATAGAGTCTATTCATTCCAACACCCGTCCACAGCGCTTGCACCCATAACGCATGCAGCCGGCCAGCTGCCGCCGACGCTGCGTCACAGCCCATCTGATGCCTAGTGCCCGTCTGATACAAGATGTCAGTGTGTCTTGGTTGCCTGAGACGCTACGTTAGAGCGAGTGTGGTGAATCCCCTTCTGTAGTCCCGTGCCTCTACTTCATTGCATCAGCCAGCCAGATGCATGATCCCTTTTTGTTGAGCGTTGATCCTTTATTGTGAGCGTTGGTCCTTTTTTTCTTGAGCGTTGCCACATCGGTTTGGGCCCGAATAGTGTTTATTCCCGAGAGATCTGCGGCATATCATCATGCCATGTCAGATGCCCGGCGCGGCACGGGGCCCCTCCTGGAGCGCCATCTGGGAGATGAGGTGGGTCATCTGGCCCATCGCCCGAGCGTACTGCCCGCCCTGCCAGTACACGCCGCTGCACGCGCCGCGGGGGAGGAGCAAGGCCGGGGGGGGGGGCGCAAGCAGGGTGAACACGCACGGCCCAGCTGGGTTGAACGCCTTGGCGCGCACAGCATGCACCCAGCGGAGGCGCCAACCACCTGCAGAGCTGCCCAGCACGCTCAGAGCTGACCAGCACCCGGCTGCGGCTGCGGCTGCGCCCGGCGGGCCACCTCGGGCCCCTGCGCCCGCCCGCCTCACCTGCACCGCGCGCACACCCAGAACTCCCTCTCCTGCTCCTGGATGCCCGGCGGCACGCCGTGGCCCTCGGGCAGCAGCGCCGCGGGGAGCGGCTCCGCCAGGAACTCGCCGTTGCAGCGAGCGCAGCTGCAGGCCAGGGGGGCGGCGAGGGCGGGAGCGGCAGACGCTGGTTGCAGCCGGCCTAAGAGGGCAGCAGGGGCGAGGCAGGGGTGGGAGGCGGGGCAGGCTACCGGGGTGCAGGCACGTGTGGCACGAGCAGCCGGCACACGCGCGCGCGGGCAGCCCCGCCAGCCAGCGCCTCACCGCGTCAGCAGCTCCTCCCGCTGTGGTGTGAGCCCAAAGGCGCCGAGCACCTGCTCCAGCTGGCGCCGCTTGGTGTCGGCAGTCACCAGGTAGGCCTGGTCGCAGTATGCGGCGGAGATGAAGGTGCGGTCCCGGGTGAGCACCACCCGCCCCTCGCCCTCAGCACGCTCCACCATCGCCCTGCGCCGGCAAGGAAGCACGCGCGCGTGTAGGTGGTGGTGCGAGGGTGAATTGGAGTGTATGACTGTGTGGCTGTGAGCTGGGGTGGGCAGCCGAGCGGCAGGAAGAGGGCTGGCGAGACGGAAGAGGCATGCGTGCGTGCGTGCGGGGCAGGGCGCAGCAGCGGGGCCGGCTGGGGAGGCGGGCGGGCACAGGGCGGCCGCTGCGGCAGGGCGCCCACGGGGCTGCGGTACCGCCGCACCTGTAGATGGCGTGGCGGGGCAGCTTCTCCATGCCTGCCAGCGACTCTGCAGCAGCAGGTGCAGGCGCACCGGTGGGTGTGGGTGTGGGTGCGTATGGAGGGCGCAGGTCAGGCGGCGGGCCGGCAGGCGCTGGCGCCATCCCAGCTGGCCGGCTGGCTGGCTGGCTGGCTGGCGGCAGGGACGCTTCTGCAGCCGCAGCACGGCTGCACCCGGGCAGAGCGCGCACGGCAGGGCTGGCCGCCGCTCTGCACGAGCCTTCGCCGCCCCACCGACCCACCCACCCACCCGCCACGCACCGGCGTCAAAGCCGCAGAGGCGCAGCTGGCGGGCCAGCCCCTCTGCCATCACGTCGCACACAAAGCGCGGGGTGCCTGTCAGCTGGGAGGCAGGAGGGAGGCAGGAAGGGGGTGCAGGGTGCAGGCAAGAGATGCGGGTCGGGTCGGGGTGGGGTGGGTGGGGCGCGAAGAGCGCAAGTCGGAGCATGCAGCAGCAAGCCGACAGGCGGGCAGGTACAGACAGGGGCCTGCACCGCACCCTGCCAAGGAACAGCTGCTTGGTGCTGCCCCTCGGCTCACCCCGCGCTGCGCATCCAGCCAGGGAACATGCTGCGGGAAGCCGGTGCAGCCCAGGGGCAGCTTGCGCGCAGCGGCGGCGGCCTGCCGCTGCTGCCGCCGCGCCTTGCCGCTGCGGCGGCTGCTGCTCTTCACGGCACGAGCGCCGCTGATCTCGAGGCGCACCCCCCAGGCCGCCGCCGCCGCGTGCAGCTGGCGCAGGGAGCAGGCGCCCAGCAAGGCTGGCGCCACAGGCTGCTGCTGCTCCTGCTGTTGCTGCTGCTGCGCTGGCACCGCCTCAGCGACTTCCCCCTCCTCCTCCCCCTCTTCCTCCTGCTCCTCAACCTCCTCGCCCGCTGCCGCCGCCTCTGAACTCAGAGCCGGAGCTGCTGCTGCTGCGCCACCGCAACCGCCGCCGCCGCTGCTGCTGCTGTCGTCGCCCATGGGCCACTCCTCAGGCTGCCCCACCGCCGCCACAAAGCTGCCCAGCAGCGCCAGCAGGCAGGCGGCGTCGGCGGCGGCGTACCGCCGCTGCTCCGCTGACAGCGGCCTCTGCAGGGCCTCACAGCAGCAGGGCAAGGAGTGCAGGTGGCAGCCGAGATGGGAGCAATGGGGAGGCAACGAGGGGCGCCCGGCCCGAGGCCAGCAGGGCACGGCGCAGCAGAGAGGCACAGCCACTGATCCCTCTGTGAGGGCAGCAGCAGCAAGCGGCAGCAGCAGGGTGGAAAGCGCGGCCAGCGGCTTGCCTCGCCCCATGCGCTGCACTGCAGCTGCTTGTCCAGCGGCCGCCCCAGCTGCGCCTCTACCAGCCCGCTCAGCCCTAGGTCGACAGCCTGCAGGCATGGAGGGTGTGGGGGGGTGCGTGATGGTGGTGGTGGTGGCGATGTGCGTGTGGGGAAGGTGCGCCGGCATGGGACACCAAAGCCTCAGCGCCAGCAGGCGCATGCGCAAGCAGCCGGCCCAGGCAGCGGCACGCCTTGTGCACGCCGCGCGCGCCACGGTGGCGCAGGAAGCGGTGCATGCTGCCCAGGTCGCAGGCAGGGTCCACCACTGCGGGGATGCACCGTGCGGCAAGGTAGGGCAGCTTTGCCAAACACCCTCTCGATTCTGTGAAGCAACACACACACACGTGCGCACGCTGCTCAAGCAGAGCCCACGCACCTGCGATGCAGCTGCCGCCCTCGCCGCCCAGTGCCGCCGCTATGGCCCGCAGGTCGTGCACCAGCCCCCACCCCAGCTTGAGGCAGCCCCGGGACCTACCAGGGGGTGGGCAGGCAGCCAGAACAACCGCAGTGAGCGCGCCGAGCGAGGTGGAGCAGGCCGGCACCTTGGCAGCGGTGGGTGGCGTCGCTGCTGCCGGCAGGCACCCATCCATGCGCACCTAAACAGCGCCTGCAGGGCCTGCTTGACCGCTGCCTGCGGCAGCCGCAACAGGTCCAGCAGCAGGACGCAGCAGCTGGTACTGCTGCGGGCGCTGGCGCCGCCGCTGGCTGCCGTGCGTGCGGCGGCGGGCAGGGCGGTGCCTGGCACCAGCACCAGCGCCAGCTGCACCAGCGTGGCATGCGGCGGCCCTCCGCTCCTGCCCTCCTGTGTAGTCTCCTCTGGTGGCCATTCGGCGTCTATGGCACAGCACAGGGCCACTCCCAACACCTCGCTGCAACAGCACTAGCGACAGGCAGCGAGACAGGGAGTGTGGCGGAGGCGCAAGAGGAACGGCTCGGCGGGGCGGTGGGTAGCCGGCAGGCCGCACCTCAGCTGCTGCAGAGTATCCTGGGTGTCGACATAGATAGTTGGCACAGATGCCGGGAGCTCCCATCGCCCCGCAATCGCCATGTCACCCCTCCAGGCCCCAGGTTTGCGTGGGAGTTCACAAGTGAGCAGGGCATGCGCACATCAGGGCAATGAAGACAGGGGAATGAAGAAATGACGAACTACATATAGGGGCTGCCAGGTTGGCGGCAGCCGCCCAGCTGAGCGGCGGCGGGCCAGCGCGCCAAAGAGCACATCGACTGCTGGGCCACAGGCGGTAGATCTGCCTTGATCTGCGTCAGAGGAAGACCCTGCAAATACCCGTTCAGCCCCTCCACACTGCCAAACCGTTTTCTGTCTGGCCCGACGCACCGGTGGGGCGCCTGGACCGAGTAGGTGGTGGTGCACTGGAGCGCGAAGGATCATCACACCTATTTCACTGGAGGTCATCAAATTCCCATGGGGTGATGAGGTGAAATACGCCAAATTGTGGCGTAGGCGCAGCCGATGCCACGGGAAGTGACCCACCAACAATGCGGTGGGCGGCGACTGCGCTCAGCACGCCCAGCAGCTCCTCATGTCGTCTCTATAGGCCCGATTGACATCAACAATTATCCGCTCTACTTCCCCTTCAGTCAGTGTGCCATGGCGACCTTCAACTCGCTAGACAACTCGCTGATCGGGCGGATTCTTGCAGAAGCTGGGAAGAGGCATGGTGAGGCATTCAGACCTTGCACAACGCGCCAGGCGGCAGTTTTAATGCCACCCACGCGCCGCCCCGGCCGCCCCTCCCACCTTGCCGCAGGCCCGCCCTGTCGTGTGTCAGCCGCCGCTGGCGGAATGTGGCCTTTTCGGAGCCACGCCTGTGGCGCATCATCATTGTAGCTCCAACATACAAGGACGAGTCCCAGCAGCAGTTCATTGAACCAATAGCCTGGCTGCTGGGCAGAGGCGTGGGCAGCGTGGTGGGCGAGTTGGTGATCGACGACAGGCGCGGGTGGCAGCTGGCGAAAGCGCTGCTCCCCCTGGTGGGCCCCCAGCTGCAGTCGCTGTCCCTCGCCGCCGCAGCTGAGCTGCCGGATGATGTGGCGGCGTCCCTGGCAGACCGGTTCCCTCACCTGGAGCTGCTGAGTCTTCATGACGTCGCTCTGCCCGCACCGACGTTGCTGGCGTCCTTCCCGCGCCTGGCCGACCTGCGCATCGATTCCGAAGGCTCGCTGCCAGGCGGCCTGATGCCCGTCGTTGAGCGGCTGACCCGCCTCACAGGGCTGCGCCTGGCCTGCTTCTCTGAGCCGCTGTCGCCGGTCGGCGGCCTCACGGCGCTGCGCCACCTGGCATCCCTGGAGCTCAGCGATGGCGGGGACCGCGCTGCCTCCCCTCTGGTGGTGGCGCCGCCGGCGGGCTTCCCCAACATGCAGAGCCTGGAGCTGGTTTTTTCCGAAGAAGTTGATCTTACGGAAGGGTCGACAATGGAGGTGCGGTGTCTTTGGCGGAGGCATGCTGGTGTGGGCAGGCGCGGAGCTGCGGTCGGGCGCATTCGGGTCGATATCAGCAGGACCGCCCGGCACCCCGAGCCCCGGCTGAACTGCTTTGGGATCCTCCACAGGTGGCAGGCGCGACCTTCACCTATTGCAGCTACAAGTGCGAAGTGGAGAGCCAGCCCGGCCTGCACCTGGCAGGCCTGACCGCACCGGCGCTCGAGCCGCTGCTGGCGGCGCTGCTGCCGCAGCGCTGCCGCAGCCCCGCCCCTGCGCAGCCCCGCCCCTGCGCAGCCTGCACCTCTCCGTGCCACGCAACCTGGCATCCATGGTGCCGGGGGAATGCACGCAGCTGGCGGCGCTGCAAGAGCTAGACATCGCTGGCGGCGCCCCGATTGGGCAGTTTGCAGAGGGCCTGGTACAGCAGACGCCCCACCTCACCTCCCTCGGCCTCTCCAGCTGCGGCCTCACAGCGCTGCCGCCCGCTGCCGTGGGGCTGCGCCACCTCAAGATGCTGGACTGCTCCAAAACTTCCCTTGGCGACCTTCCCCCAGGGCCCTACCTGTCAGGTGGGGCGTGCCTTGCTCTGACTCTGGTGCTGATGGCACCCCATGCTGCCATTCATCCAGCCATCTTCTTTGCTCACATGTTTTCAGTGCTGCTGATGCATGTTTTCAGCGATGCCGATGCAGGCCTGACTTTCTTCAACCTCTCGGACACTGGCCTGACCCGCCTGCCACCCGTGCTGGCCAATGCCAGCTGCCTGGTCACGCTGGGGCTGGCCAGGTGCCACAGCCTGACGGTCAGCTGCGTCGCCACCCGCCGCGTGCTGCTGGGGTTGACATCGCTGCAGAGCGTTGACCTGCGGCAGACGGTGGTGGAGTGTGGTGTCTTCTGCTTGCTGCGGCGAGGCGCCTCAGATCGATTGAGGGTGCAGCAAATGGACGATGAGGGCGAGTGGAGCGAGGGTGAGGGCGGGGGCTGGGACGGCGGCTCCTCCACCAGCGACTCCAGCGGCGACGGCGCCCCGCGCTATGACTGGGGCGGCTGCGCCTACGCCAGCCGCTGGTACGAGTGATCGGGTTGCTTGTGCGAGGGCGGGGAGGGCTCTGGATCTGGCATGTATGCATTGCAAGCATACACACGTGCAGGGAGGCGCATCGCTTGATCTCCAGATGAGAACACAGCATGAAGAGTGCCTGGTAGGGCTGGGTGGCACGCTGCGGCGGTGGCCAGCGCCGACATCAGGGCGCGCTTTGGCAGGTTCATGAGGCACAAGCTGAGCACGGGGGGTCTGCAGACAGGGGTGAAGCTGCCAGCGCCGGCCTTGGGGAAGCGCAGGGCCAACCGGGGCACCCTCCTCCTCGCTTGCCCTGCTCACGGCCGCCGTCGTGCAAGAGCAAGGCCTCCTTGGGGCCCTCCGGGGGGAGGACGTGTGGAATAGGAGGATAGATCTCCCATGCAATTTGCCCCACTGCTGCTCGCCAGTAGGGACCTGCTCCGTGGCTTCCAGGCATGGAAGCCACGGCAACGTCGGCGCTCTTTACACTCTAGTCGACCGCTCCTAGCGTGCCAGTGCGAGCAACCCACGAAGACAGGGAGCCCATGAAGCAACCCGGCGCGAGCAACGCATGAAGCAGTGAGCGGACATCATGACAACACAACAGGCGACGAGCACTTGGCCAATGCAGGCGAGTGGTACACAACAGCATGCACGGCGCACAGCAAATCGAAAGAACAGCGGAAGCAGGGGCCACTCTTGTGCCTCTGGCAGTATGGCACACATACAAACACACAGCGCAACGAGTGAGCAACGGGTAGGCGGTCGAGCAGCAGCTACTGCCTCGTGGCGTGGGTCAGAACCCTGCCGCTCTCCAGCACTGCTCAGCCGAGGCCGGCTAGTGCTGGTGCAGCACCTGCGCCCGCGACTGCACCACAAAGGTGCTGCCATCGGCGGTCCTCACGCCCTCAATGTCCTGTGCGGGACAGGCGGGACACGCGGCGGCAGGGGTCGGCAAGGCAGCAAGCGCACATGGACCGGCGTGCACTTCCCAGGACAGGATGGGCCGCCCGCCGCGGCGGGGGGCGCAGGCAACAGGCAGGCAGCGGGCAGAGCGCAGCACAGCACAGCCCGCGCAGCGTCCCACCTGCGGCACGCCGCCAAACGCGGCCTCCACCGCCGCCCCCAGCTGCACCAGCTCTCCCAGCACACTCTGCCGCAGGCCGCCATCCCACAGCAGCGGCTCGCCGGCGTACGCCACCGCCCGGTGCTCCAGCGCTGCGCGGGGCAGGCAGGCAGGGCAGGCGGGAGGCGCGGGGCAGGTGAGGGACAAAGGCGACGGCACCGGGCGTAGCGCTCGCAGCGCCGGCCGCAGGCTGCGGCACGCAGGCAGCGCCGGGCAGCTCCTCACGGCGGCAGGGGCGGCGGCTGCGGGCTGCGGCAGGGCCGCGGCAGGGCCATGCAGCGCGCCAGGGGCAGCAGCAGCCCACCTGGGAAGGGCACGCTGTCGTACAGGCCTGCGCCCGCAAACGCCTCCAGGTCCTCGCCTGCATCCATGCCCAGGCCAACACAGGGGAGAGCGGCGCGGGTGGGCCAGCAACCTCCAGCAAGCAATACCCAGGTGCAGGCGCAGGCGCAGGAGCAGCAGCATGGCAGGTGAGGGGCAGGCAGGCGCGGCCTGCCGGCAGCCCAGCCGCGGCGGGCGCAGCGGGCGCGGCGGGCACGGCAGATGGGAGGCAGGTGCCCCGGCGGCGGCGGGGCCAGGGCGAGGGCGGCCATGCGGGGTGCGCACCGTTGGAGTCTGAGCGCGCGATGAGGTGCGGCACGCCCGCCCCCGCAAACAGGCCCTCACGCTTGCCGGGCAGGCTGAGCAGCTGCGGCTGCGCGCCGGCGCTGGCGGCAAAGCTCAGCGCGCGGCCGGGGTAGTTTCCCACCAGCGCCTCGCCCATCCCCACCACCATCTCGCCGTGGAGCTCGCCGCGCTGGCCTGCAGGCGGGTGGGTGGGGGCGGGCGGCGGTGGTGGTGGTGGTGGTGGTGTGGCATGGTGTGGTGCGGTGTGGTGTAGGGGCCACGTGTCTCGGCCAGCGGGAGCGGCAAGGACAGGGGATGGGGCT